CTTCTCTTTATTACTGATTCACTAATTTATTTGTTGTATTTTTTCAGAGAGAGAGAGAGAGAGAGAGAGAGAGAGAGAGAGAGCATAAAAACTAATAATATTTTCCCAAAATTAGAAACAATTGATCGCATGTTTAGATTCATCGGTAGATATAATTGTGAGAGAAAAACAAATAATGAATTTATAATATAATCGATTAAATAATAACTTATATTAAAAATCCCCACACATTAAAAGAGTTACAATCGATAAGCAAAACATACAAAAAACAAAACTTTAATCAAACAAAAATATAATACAATTTAAATAATAATCTATTCGATATTAAATAGTAAAACAACTAAAAATACAAAAGCGCTTCAAATTGAGGCTATTTTTAATAATAATAATCAAAAATCTTATTAAATGCTATCAAAAAACAGCAAAAACTATTTTCCCCTAAAATAATAGTTCATTGAAAACTATTGAACCGCAAATCTATAGTCTCTCTCTCTCTCTCTCTCTCTCTCTCTCTCAATCTCCTCTCAATTCAATAGCTATTTATAAATTTATTTAGAAATTGACTTTTAATGCACTCTTCGGACAGAAAAATTCTTTTGCTTNCTCTCTCTCTCTCTCTCTCTCTCTCAAAAACGATATATACGATCAAGTCTTGAATATACAGTTAACTATAAATTTAAAAAACAAAATTAATAACTAAAATAACACTTAATATATTAGTGCCTAAACACTGATCATTCATATAGATAATTAATTACATAATATATGGCATAAAATTAAAAACACTGTTTTTAATCGACTATAAGTTATAAATTTATTTTAAACGACAGTTAAAACTCAAACCGTTTTCAATGCATAACGAAATTAAAAGCAAATGAATTTTTCTGTCCGAAGAGTGCATTAAAAGTCAATTTATAAATAAATTTATAAATAGCTATTGAATTGAGAGGAGATTGAGAGGGACTGAAGCTATTCTCCCATAAGAAAATATTTTGTGTTTAAAACAAAACAAAAAACTTTTGTGTCTCCGAGTTATATAACTGTATGTAATATCAAATGTATAATAATTTATGTATTCTTCGAGGAAATAATATTTTAAAATATCCTATTTTTAGATTCAATAGTTAAGAGATTTGATGCAAAATATAAATTCAAATCTCTCTCTCTCTCTCTCTCTCTCTCTCTCTGAAAAAATACAACAAATAAATTAGTGAATCAGTAATAAAGAGAAGAGATCTGTAGGGCTAAGAAGTAGTGAAAAAAACATGACAAACAACTTATAATAACCTGTAATGGCATTAATAGACAACTCATTTAATTCCCGATTCATTACGAATTCAATAACATATTTAGATATTGAATGAATTGAATGTTTTTTGTTTTGCGAAATAAATAAAACAAAAGAGGAAAACAACAAAAGTATTATAAATTATTTCAATATTTAATAATAGCGTGAAATTATTGAATGTTTTCTCTTATGACTTAAACTCATAAATATTCACAAATTACTCGTTGTTTAGGAGATATTGTTTGCTAATAACACAGCAATTAATTTATTAGTTTATTATAATAATTATAATATAAATATATTTTGTGACTATATTTAGCAGAGAATATCCGATATAATAGTTAAATAAAAAACAACCAAAAAACACTTAAAAACATAAAACATAGACATAAGTCATACCTGTCTTAAGTATAGTTTGAGGACATTAGCGACAACGTTGGGAGGGGTGGAGGAGAGGTCGACCAAGTCGTGGCCGGACTCAAAACTCTGGCACAGTTTCTCCACCCGAGACTTGACGCCCGACACCCGGTATATGCCTTTGATTGTTATGCCCCGGGAGTCGATCTCTTCGATGCACTTCTTGACAATGAGGGGGACGTCGCTATCGGATTGGGCGCTGAGAGCGACACCGAAAGTGGTCATACGTCGGGGCAGTTTCACGTGACCGCACTGTATGGTCAGTGTTTCCAAACACTTCTTATGGCAGCCGAGACCGCACTCCAGACACTCGTAGCCCTGGAAGTAGACATAGGAATCGCATTCCCGACACCGGGAGGGGGTCTTCAGTTTGCGTAACCGATGTGTTTCGGCCGCCTTCGACATCGTTGTGGTCATCGGTGTTGCGAGTGATGTGCTGTTGTTGTTGTTGTTGGCGCCAGACTTACGACCCGATGGGTAGTAACCGCTGTCTGCTATTACATCAATGAGAAGTGAATACAATTTTAAGACATTTTTTGGCTAATATTTAGTGTCGACAATATTTTGTCAATTAGTTTACATATGTTTGCACTTATTTAGTTGCTCTCTCTCTCTCTCTCTCTCTCTCTCTCTCTCTCTCAACACTCAAAAAATGTAAGAAAAACATCAATTAAAACATGAAATTACTTTTCATGGCTTGAAATGACAGCTCGATGTCTACAAAAATCATCAAAACTAATATGAATTTTATATATTCAGTATATTTCCGACACTAATTTCCTAAACGTTTCAAATGGCGTTAACACTGGAAACAAAGTTTTGTCAAAACTATTTAACTTTTAAATAAACATAAGAAAAGTTTATATAATAACAAATTTGTGCCGTAAAGAGTGACTCAAATTATTATTATATAAATTATGACATCAATCGTATAGACAAATGTAGACATGATTTGCAATTTCTCATGACTTTGTTATGTAATTAATTAGTAATACTTCGTTATATGAGGGGATAAAATACACTAATAATTATATCAATGGCTAAATAAATGCCACTATATTTAGTGCACGTGTATCTGAATTGCAGTTTTAGTTTTGCATTTATAACTATATGGCCATAAAATGACAATTTTATCGTTATCGGTCTCTCTCTCTCTCTCTCTCTCTCTCTCTCTCGTCTGCAGTATATCTAATAAATTGAATTTAAATAATGTTAACATTTTTATGATAGCAATGAACGCAAAACTGAGCGAAATATATATGAAAACGTAATTATGAGACACAATTGACGGCAAACCGAGTGAAGGGATAATAATAAAAGTGACAAAAAACTAATTCCAACTTAAAATATATAATACATAAATTCATGGCTTAATCACGTGTTGAGAGAGAGAGAGGGACTGAAGCTATTCTCCCATAAGAAAATATTTTGTGTTTAAAACAAAAC